TACTAGTAAGGCACTTGTTACTACTAGCGTGGCACTTGCTACTAGTAACAAGGTTCGCTACGAACGGAACTTGAAATCAGACCGGAGTGATGAGACCCAACCCACGACCTTCGAAGGAGGACTCTTGGAGAACTTGCCCTCACTTACAGAGTTCGACACCAGACAACAACTCCGTTATTTTGTTTGATTGGACTTTCCTCTTTCCATCCGCAAGAGTGCGTGAAAAATGCACCGGAACCAGTGGCTTCAGAACTTCCGCACAAAGCGCACTTCTCCCAATCCCGCTCGCTGCCAGCCTCAGGTTCGAGTTCTCGGTCAACGGCAAAACCACGGGCCCCAAAGTGTGCTTGGGACGACGCTACCTAGGCGCGCCCCTTCACGTTCCGCGCGTAGCAAAGGTGACGATGCTTCGATCAAACAACAGCTATATACCCCACCAGGGTCGATGCTTCGTGCGGTGGTACGACAAAAGAGCGCCAGTGTGGCGCTTGGGGTAGTGGGCTGGTTACTGCGGTATGTGGGAATGAGTCAAAACCTGGAGCCCCAACACCATGTAGCTCGACCTTCAGGTAGGAGCAAGGTATCCTGGTTTTGACCCGCCAGTTGGCCGTTCCTCGGGGATGGGTGGAAAGCGCGCTGGTGAGTGCGTCACCATGGGACGTTGCGGTGCCAGGCGATTACATCAAGCCTTTTGAGGATGATGGAAATGCGTCCCGGGTAGTGGTGTCAATGAATGAGACTTGGCAAGGTTTAGCCTGCTACGTCCTGCACGGGCGAAAATCGCCACCTGTGCTGCTGGGTGGTCAGACAACGCGTGTCGATGTCTTGTTTCTAGCTTGCCGCATCCAGGTATCCGTGGTAAGCATGGCCAGGCTGTTCTCGGGTCAACCTGAACTTGGTTGGAAACTGATCAAGTCAGAACGCGGAGGATGTGTCCTTCGTATGGTGAAGCCGGACAATTCGTGAACATGTCCATTCTCAGCTGTGATTCCGTGGGCATCTTCATTTTATTGAGTGTTACTCGTACCAGTGGGTGTCCATGCTGAAGTCGGCAAACTGAGGTGCTGGAAATCATTCAGGGCCGCTAAATGGCGAAGACGGCGCTTGCCACCGTACAGTATGGTCTTTAGTTGCTCAGGCGATGCAGAGAAACAGCGACGTCGAAGAGAGATTGCTATAATGTTGGATCTTGATTAGTAAAAGGCCCCCCCCCTCAAACAAATGGGAGATCCTCTATAATAAACTACCACCAAAACAAATCTGGGTTCCTGTGAGGATTCCTTTTTGTAATTGATTGTAGTATTGATTTTCCTTTCAAACATTCATTGTCATTAGGTATTCGTTGCAATCCTTTCATACTACTATATAAAGGATTGATTAAGGAATTGACGGCTTTGGAAAGCTGTGAGGCTTAGTTTTGAAGAATAATTTGAGAAACCTATACTTATCAATACGCTCAGCAAGCCAACCATTGGCTTAGTAGTATTAAGAATTACGATTTTATGTGTCTTCAGGAAAAAGCGTTGCACAATTGAGGACCCTTAAAACAAATTCATTATTGATGATCACGGGCCTTCCTGGTCTACTACCTTGAAAATTTGTTTAGGAGCAATCTGTTCATAAAGGATTGATTAGGGAATTGATGGTTTTGGGAAGCTGTCAGTTTTGAAGAAGAACTATAGAAACCTATACTGATCAATACTCTCAGCAAGCCAACCATTGGCTTAGTAGTAAGAATTAATATGTCGACCTTTCTAACGGAAATATACTTACAGCAACCCTAAATATTTTCAGATAATAAAAGATAGGATCCCCCAAACAAATAACATAATAGAGGACCCTTAAAACAAACAGGGTGTCACTATTATTTTTCAATCATTTAGCATTATAGAGGGCCCTATTGCTAATCAGCGTCCAACATTAGGGAGCCTTAGAGAGAGGGTTGCAATATGTTGGAATCCTGGTGGCATTGATGAACGCAGTATAAAGCAGCAATATATAGTAATATTGTCAAGACTGGACAACAAATCTGAAGAGCTTTTGAATAGGCCGCCATATGCGGTTGCGAAATTTGTGAGGTTTATTTCTCGCCTTCCTTGAACGCATAAATGATACCACTGAGTAATATTGAAAACCATCGAAAAACCCGATCAATTTACATTCCTTTGCTGAGGGACATGGTCAACGTACTGACAGATGACACACCACCCGCAGGCTCTTTGACGAAATGCAACGAACAAATCTATTTGTATATGTATGGGTCTACATTCAGATAGTGAGAGAGTGAGATGGGGGAAGCTGTGAGGCTTAGTTTTGAAGAATAATTTGAGAAACCTATACTTATCAATACGCTCAGCAAGCCAACCATTGGCTTAGTAGTATTAAGAATTACGGTTTTTATGTTTTTTCAGGAAAAACGCGTTGCACAATTGAGGACCCTTAAAACAAATTCATTATTGATGATCACGGGCCTTCCTGGTCTACTACCTTGAAAATTTGTTTAGGAGCAATCTGTTCATAAAGGATTGATTAGGGAATTGATGGTTTTGGGAAGCTGTCAGTTTTGAAGAAGAACTATAGAAACCTATACTGATCAATACTCTCAGCAAGCCAACATTGGCTTAGTAGTAAGAATTAATATGTCGACCTTTCTAACGGAAATATACTTACAGTAACCCTAAATATTTTCAGATAATGAAAGATAGGATCCTCCAAACAAATAACATAATAGAGGACCCTTAAAACAAACAAGGTGTCAATATTATTTTTCAATCATTTAGCATTATAGAGGGCCCTATTGCTAATCAGCGTCCAACATTAGGGAGCCTTAGGGAGAGGGTTGCAATATGTTGGAATCCTGGTGGCATTGATGAACGCAGTATAAAGCAGCAATATATAGTAATATTGTCAAGACTGGACAACAAATCTGAAGAGCTTTTGAATAGGCCGCCATATGCCGTTGCGAAATTTGTGAGGTTTATGTCTCGCCTTCCTTGAACGCATAAATGATACCACTGAGTAATATTGAAAACCATCGAAAAACCCGATCAATTTACATTCCTTTGCTGAGGGACATGGTCAACGTACTGACAGATGACACACCACCCGCAGGCTCTTTGACGAAATGCGACGAACAAATCTATTTGTATATGTATGGGTCTACATTCAGATAGTGAGAGAGTGAGATGGGGGGAAGCTGTGAGGCTTAGTTTTGAAGAATAATTTGAGACACCTATACTTATCAATACGCTCAGCAAGCCAACCATTGGCTTAGTAGTATTAAGAACTACGGTTTTTATGTTTCTTCAGGAAAAAGCGTTGCACAATTAAGGACCCTTAGAACAAATTCATTATTGATGATCACGGGCCTTCCTGGTCTACTACCTTGAAAATTTGTTTAGGAGCAATCTGTTCATAATGGATTGATTAGGGAATTGATGGTTTTGGGAAGCTGTCAGTTTCGAAGAAGAACTATAGAAACCTATACTGATCAATACTCTCAGCAAGCCAACCATTGGCTTAGTAGTAAGAATTAATATGTCGACCTTTCTAACGGAAATATACTTACAGTAACCCTAAATATTTTCAGATAATAAAAGATAGGATCCCCCAAACAAATAACACAATAGAGGTCCCTTAAAACAAACACGGTGTCAATATTATTGTTCAATCATTTTGCATTATAGAGGGCCCTATTGCTAATCAGCGTCCAACATTAGGGAGCCTTAGGGAGAGGGTTGCAATATGTTGGAATCCTGGTGGCATTGATGAACGCAGTATAAAGCAGCAATATATAGTAATATTGTCAAGACTGGACAACATATCTGAAGAGCTTTTGAATAGGCCGCCATATGCCGTTGCAAAATTTGTGAGGTTTATTTCTCGCCTTCCTTGAACGCATAAATGATACCACTGAGTAATATTGAACACCATGGAAAAAAACCGATCAATTTACATTCCTTTGCTGAGGGACATGGTCAACGTACTGACAGATGACACACCACCCACAGGCTCTTTGACGAAATGCGACGAACAAATCTATTTGTATATGTATGGATCTACATTCAGATAGTGAGAGAGTGAGATGGGGAGCGTTATATTTAGTTTATAGGATATCCATGCATATCCATCACACCCCTGCAACATAAGCTAACTTGATGCAGACAATATAACAGAAAAGGTGTGAAAAGAAGAGTTTATATATACAGAATCATATAAGTCCACTTTCTTTTAAAACCAATGCTTCCACACGTACGATTCTTGGAAATATATAATGCTAGTTCTAATTCTGTTCAACTCTTCTGCGCATATTAACTCTTGATTTGATGCCTCCCCACGGACTGTGTTCACTGACCCCCTTTCAATTCCTCGCGACGGGGCTCCCATTGGGGGGGCCAGACATCAGAAGACGAGCCCTGGGTGAGGCCCTCAAGGCCCTCAAGGTAAAGCCTATGATCACTGACCTTTTTGCCAAGAATCACACAATTGACTTAATTCCTCCACAGTGGCTCCCTTTTTGGGGGCACCCAGCTTCAATGTTTGCAAGGCACTTTAAGCGTGACAATTGCAGCAGCCCTGAAGAAAAGAAGACCTTGGGAATGACTTTGCTCAAGATTAAGTTTATCCACAAGATCTTCTGAAAACAAAGAACTTTAAAGTTTGGGATTTATTAGTCCTGGGGCACATTGTCCAAAGCAGCATTGTGGACATGCACCCTGTTAACCCTGTTAGACAGAATCAACTCTAGACTCTAGATTTAATTCTCCCAGCTTACATGTTAATGATAATCCGCTTGCTAGAGTTAACTCTCGATTAAATTCCTTTGGCATGAGCGCCAGAAGTGACACACCATGTACAAGCATTAACTTTAAGCTTAATTCTTTAGAACTCGTGTTTGTCACGCTCTTCCCAACCATAAAACCGACGGCAAATGTTCTTGCCTGCACGATCCAAGAAAGAGACTGCCCTTAAAGGCCCCTGCATGGCACCCAATTTGTCCGAAATAGTCTCATAGGAGGACATTGGATATGGGCAGAACATACTATTTGACATACACCACAAATGCCTGAGTCTTGCATTTTCAGGGGTCGGTATTCCCACTAATCGTACAGGTATAAGGGGGAGGTGTTTTTGAAGCAGTATATATCGATATATATATATTTTTTAATATATATATATACAATAGACACTTTTTGTTTACCTACAGCACCCCCGTGCTTCTTGAGACTTGATCTGCTGTGAGCACATGCGAAAGCTGCATCGCTTGTTCAAACTGTTGTGGCCAAGTGCCAGGCACTTGGATAGAAAGGTGAGCCTTCCTCCTCTTTTGGCTGTGCGAATGCTACCCTTTCGTGGTGTTCCATGGTGATCCCCTTGGACTGGAGGGTGCGAGGCTGACATCCTTCGGTGGAATTCGTTCGCCGCAAATGTCGCCCGGAAGAACACTTATTGGAGAAAGAGGTCTATGCCATGGAATGTCTTCTAATGTTTAGTCTTAATGATTTGTGTCTGCATTCTATTTACATATCTGTATGCTCAACACACCAAGTTCATGCCATTGTCACGCTACCTTCATGGGAAAGGCTCACCTTTGCAGCACGTTTTTGGGTGCGGACCTCATGCGTTGGCGATCCTTGAATCGTAGTTGCAAGCTGCAGACATATCCAGGTCAAAATCAGTCCACCCCTCGATTGGTGCGACGCCGCCAGGTATGCAAAACTGAACGCATCAAAACGAAACAGGCCTTCTGGCGGTGATAGGTTTCTGATTGCCTGTTTCATTGATGCCAAGATTGGTTAGAGGAAACGCTTTGGCTCGGAGAGCCCGAGCTATCCCAAGCATGAAAATTCATTGCAATGTTGCAAAGGCAAAGATGCTTCAGCAATCCACAATCCTCTATAAGCTGGGTTGCTGAAAACTGCACTGTGCAGGTTCGGGGCATGTTCAATGAGAGGCAAATCGTGAATGCCATTAATGCCCACCGGTGCCGGCGCATGTGTTTCTTTGCTGTACTGGTTTTACCTCGCCCTGGCCCCTGGTCACAGCTGCTTGATTTTGCCACCCGGGACTTGCAGGCTTGGCCGAAGTGGACACCAACACTCCATAGGCCTGATGAACATATGTTGCCATTCGAGTCCTACTTGGGGATGGTGATCCAACATGAATATTGTGGAGGATGGTTTGCATCAACTACCCCGAGATACTGTAACTTGACAGATGCCACAAGGAGACGATGAACTGGACTTGATTAGCAGCATTTGGCAGCCACATAGGTTAGAACGGTAAAACGACAGACCCTCCAGAAGTACACGATCTGAGTATTCACTTCTAAAGATCTACAGCAATATAGAAAGTTTGGCTGACAAGAAGTATTGACATGCTTTGACTGGAGTATGGATGTACTTTTCAGTGGCCTAGTGTGCCAGTGATGCTGCCACAGCAAAGCTGCAAGCACATCTTGTCTTGTCTTGTTGTGAAAAGTTCCCTGCAAACTTTTGAAGAAACACTAAGACGTGATTGGAGAATGCACTGGTGTCTCAAGAGCCATCCTACATGTCCCAGTTTGTGCCATGGGAGGCCGGTAGCTAGCAGCAAGTTGCAGAAAAACCAGTAGGGTGCAACGTGAGAGCTGCCATGCTAACCGCTGCGGAGACATTCTCTCATAGGTTGGTTCTTTGTATTTTATGGGCTGACTGCGCAGCGCCCCCTAGAAAGATGAGTAGACTCGCCATTTGCCTTTGATATGATTGAGTGATGCGTCCAATTATGCCGAAGTCTCGGAAGGTGGTGGTCCAGAGTGGTGCCCATCTGGACAAGAACAAAGGCGGACGAAGAACAATGCTCAGTTGTGAAGAGAGGCAGGCAAATTCTCCCTCAGAAAGCCATTCCTTAGCCCCTTCGCTTCGGCACAGCCTCATCCGGCTGGGGAGAACATCCGAAAGGGCTCAGAATTGGTTGGCAGATCGAACCTCTCAATGTGGCTATCGAAACCTTCCCACTGGTTCAATGGTCTACTCAATGTGTTTGTGATTTGCTGGCCTGTCGACAACTGATTATGAAAGGTAGAATGTACTCAGATGGTTTGTTTCACGCGCAGATCGGAAAAGAGGACGTGGATGTTCGTGGAAGTTTGGCCAGTGGTGCAGGTGAGAACTCAAACTCATATTCTTTGCCGCTAAGTGGTGGTGCAGATGGGAAGTGGTCTAGATCAGTCATGGTTTTTCAATGAGGACAAATTAATACAAATCTATAACATAGAATAATACAATATCATATTGAAAGTAAGAGAACATGTTTTAAGATTTTTTATAACCTTCCAAACATCCTTTAGAATATTCAGACGTTTTAAACACAAAAATAGTTAATAAACTCTTTCAGAATATTCAGAAATCGGTTTAAATCGTTTAAACAAATATATAAAACATCTTCAAAATCTTAAATCTTACTTAAAATATCTCAAACTATCTCAAAACATCTCACAACAACTTGTTAACTTGGAAAGGGTTCGGAATTACAAAATAGCTTGCCAGACTGAACATATCATAATAGCTCTACAAACCTCAAACCATCTCAAACAAGTTTTAAATATGTGAAATAAATGCAAGCAAAACAGCAAAGACATAGGGCAATAGTCACGTGGTGAACGTCGCCCTGACATGACATTGAAGAGTATTCTGCAGGCTTTTGGGGTCTCAAAGATTTCTGAAGATTTGAGGTGGTTCTTGTCGCACGTGATCAATCGCGTGGTGAGCCGGCAGGGAAAATAACTGGCTGCGAGCTAGCGTATCAAGGGAATGCTGAAAATCAAAGAGCAGAGCTTAAAATCAACAAGTAAAATATCAACATATGTCAAACTTACATATGTATATATATATATATACTTTTTGTGTTGATTTTCTGTGATTATATGTATTTTTTGATGTTAACTGTGTTTTTTTTGGAAGTTTGTGTGCAAAAGCCATAGGCCAAACCCGGGCTGATCCAATCCACCACTTAGTCTCTCTGACATATACACGCATGATTTTGAATCCCACCTCCAATGATTTGATCGGTATTCTGAATGGTGGGACATACACTCGTATCCAAAGCGAGTGCGACCCGCTGAGATCGGAGTTCTGAATGGTTGCTACAACCCGCGTCCATCCTCGGGTCGCCGCATAGGTAACTCGGCGACCCTCCCGTAACTCGGTTCGGTGCTGGGGGGTGCGAGGGGGGGTCGAAGTACCTTGGAGTGCAGTAGAGTCTTAGACTCATGTCCGGCGAAGCAAGCAAATTGCTTAGAACCAGCTCCCATCACGATCGATCATAAGACTGCTGGGAAAGGCAGTTTTTGGTCCACATTCGACTCCTTTGCAGCCATCCGGGCACAGTTTTCTCGAAGAGCCCTGAACGAATCTGCTGGACGCCATGCTTTCGCGCCTGACTCGTCCTGCAGCCAACGCAGCCGCACGCCTTGCGAAGAGTGTGCGCAAGGTCAGCACCACCCAGACGCTCTGATTGAAGATCCAACCCAGATGAGTTGGTAGTATCGATCTCATCTCAAGGGACCCTCCAACCACGGACCTGCAGTTGGCCTGTGGTCAGCAAACCCTCTGACTTGTCACTCGCCAGTCACGGGGGCATGTTCCATCATGTTCCATCCTCCAGCCTCATAGCCAGTGCTGCGGAGTGTGTATATATATTTACATATACACATACACACTAAATATACATACATATATAACAATACGCGTGGCAGTTGAGGATTAGAGCCTCTGCCGTATACCATATAGATCCATATAGCCTATACTCTATACCTTTCCTGAGCCTATTGTCCTTGGCCTTTTCCGTTGCCACAGCGTGGTCAGCAACTAACCCTGTAGAGAAACATCTATTATGTGGGAAAATGCTGCACCTAGTTAGCTGGCTAACTCAGTTGTTCGTTTGAGGATTGGAGGCTACGAAGTCTTCGACCATTCCTATGACGCTGTGGTCATTGGCGCTGGTGGTGCAGGTGAGGACGCCTGGTCACGGCTGGACACCGGTGCGGCGCAACACCGTGGCGACAACGTGGGACACTGAAGTATGATGTTTTGTGGTGTTTTGTGGCGATTTTTGGGTTGGGGCAAAGATGAAATGCCTCGTGTTCTTGAATCAGGTTAAACACGTCGAACCAGCTGAGACAGACAAAGGTGGGCAATGGGACTAGATACACTACGGACGTTACAAGGTGTTGACTTGCAGATATTGCAAAGGCGTCCACCAGTTCTATTTCAGGTTCGGGATTCCTCAATTGCTATTAAAATATAGTTGTTCCTTGTAACACTTTGTTTTGACCATTGTTGACCATAGTCCCAAATCTCAGTAGTTGATTGCTTAGAGATGCTTACAGGTTCTTCAAGGACTTTGGCTCCTCGTCATGTTTGGTTTTCGGAGGAGGTCTAAGTGCAACCTTGAAAGTGGGCTCATTTGACTATCAAATAACATGGGAATGGTTGGTTGGTAATTTGGTTGGGCTCATTTTAAACCAACCCCCGACTCAGGGGAGCTGCATCAGAATCGTCCACACTTCCCCAGCTTGATAACACCAATTTCTGGTTGGAACCAGTTTGAAGCTCCCTGTCCAGTTTCACTGGGGGCTTCCGAGAAGGTCGCCTGACCACTGGAAATCAAGCTCCAAATATATCCAAATCGACACCCACTTGCCATCCTGTTCGATTCAGGGCTCGCCAAGCCGCCAAGCCTCCTGTTCGAATCTTCAGGTCTTCGTGCTGCTGCTGGGCTCGTGGGCCATGGCTTGAAGACAGCTTGCATTACCAAGGCAGAGCCGTGAAAACATGGGCGGAGCTTGATCTCCGAATTTGCTGCGTGAGGGAATCGGGAATGCACAGAAGGACCATGCATGAAGGCAGAATCATATACATCCCGCCGGGTGTGGAATCGCACGTGTAGTCGTGCAAATTTTGAATCAAACGTGCAAGCCCTCTCAGTACTTTTGCTTGTTCGATGATGTTTTTTTGGGGTCCCGGATCCTTTCATTTTTAAAGCCGAATCTGCCGAAACCCAAGCGCCAGCGCAAATCCGTCGCCGTTTTTGTCCCGGGCTGTCCTCAACTTTCATGCGTCCTGTCTCAAGTAGACTTGCGCAGTTTTTTGCACAAGTTAGTACACGTGGTGTTTTCCCAACGCCACTGCCATCTGCGAATCACACGACTAATCGATGACAATGTTATGAAACCGATGACAATGCTATGAAACCGAAGATTACTTGTGAAATCGATGACAATGTTCTCAGCATGACGTCCACATCCTCATTCCATCACAACGCCCCCCCCACCCCATTTTAATCACACGACTAATCGATGACAATGTTATGAAACCGATGACAATGCTATGAAACCGAAGATAATGTTATGAAACCGATGACAATGCTATGAAACCGAAGATTACTTGTCGTGAAAACGATGACAATGTTCTCATCCCACCCCAACCCAACCCCCCCACCTTTCACGTAGCATCATCTTCAGATAGCAAGTGCAAACGAACGTCAATATGCCCCATCCCACCCCACCCCAACCCCCCCACCTTTCACGTAGCATCAACTTCAAAAATCGCAGTAGTCACACGTTCGGTTTTACACCCGTAGGCATATACATGAATGATCGTGAACATGCTCGCATGCTCCACCTCTCATCGTCCTTCGCCTCCCCGATGGGAAAGTCTACCTTCCCCCCCAGTCTACGAGGACCCGGTCGTTGGCAGGTTTTCCCAACACGCTCCCACACTGTTGCTGCTCAAGGCGAGGTTGTGAGATTTTTGCATGCTTTGGTGCGTTTCCAGGTGCCAAAGTACTCATCGCTCCCATGCGCAGTTTGGGCCAAACACGAAGATATCAATATATGATTCAATATGAATCAAAGCCTGATTACTCCTTGAGCTCTCGGGATGCTTGTTTTGCGTGCAGTATGTAATTACAGTATAGCCTCCTGAAAGCTCGGAAGTTGATCAGAGAGGCGGCATCAATGGCGCGTTGGCCAACATGACAGAGGATGACTGGCGTTGGCATGCCTATGACACTGTGACTGGCCATACTTGCCTATATGATGCTGGCACTGGTGTTGTATACAAAGAACCTGCAGGATTTTGATATAACTTTGATACTTCGTTAACAACAAAAAAGAACATGTAAAAGCACACATGTTTTTCTGCACCACTCGGGCGTTGAGAAACAGGGACGTCCAAATAACCGAGGTGAAGGGAGCTGATTGGTTGGGAGATCAGGATGCGATTCAGCACATGTGCCGTTTGGCGCCGGAGGCGCCAAACGTTGTCGGTGTAGATGCCAGGATGAGGGCATGGCCCGTGCCATGGCAAGAGGAAGACTGCGATGTCTATGCCTGCTCGGCAGGGCTGGGGGAATGTTCGGCTCATGAACTCCAGGATGACCTAGAAGAACAGGAGAGGCTTATGTTCTGGTGCAGTGCATGATATGCTGCCTGAGATTTTTGTTGGAGGCACAACTCCTTCCCGTACGGCTCTTTTTGGGGGGGAGCTCCTCCGGTACGCATGCATACCCAAGCTGGCGCTTCGACTCGGATCATGGAGCCAAACCCGTCCTCCTGCCGCCTTCGCTTTGGGCCGTCGCAGGTGATTTTGGAGCTCGAGTCCTTCGGCTTGCCATTCAGCCGCACGCCCGAGGGGAAGATTTATCAGCGAGCCTTTGGAGGGCAGAGCTTGAAGTTTGGCAAAGGCCACCGTGGGCTTGTGCTCAGGGGCCGCAGGGCTGGCATTGAGCCTGGTTGGAGAGATTGTTCTTGGGTGATGTGGGGTGTAGGATGTATGCACCGCATTTGTACTGCCATCAATTGGCAAATGGACAAGTAAGCAAGGTTTTTTTGTGTTGATTCCCTACCCTGGTTTTGTGAGATCGGATTTGGCCAATACCTTATGGTGGCTGGTGGTGGGACGACATGGTTGCATTGGAGAAACTTGGGGATGACTTGGAGCAGAACATCCTCAGGATCCCCTGCAAATCCACCGTCACGTGGTGACGTGTATACTATATGTGGTTCGTGGTAATGTAGTGAGGGTTCAATGCCACTTAGTGGGGTCAAAGACACTCAAACTCACCATTGATTCGATGGGAAAAAAACGTCCACACACCCGGTTTTACGTGGTGTTCCTTCTATGCAAGTGATCGGGGGTCCAGATGGTGTTTGTTCATGCATTTCTTATCATATAAGTAGAAAAGCATGAACGAGCTGCAGGCTAGATCACCTTACATGCAAACCCCATCCAAAGTGGTCAAACTTCGTGACGGTGCCATGCTGAACTATTTGCACGCCCCAAGTCGACATGCAAGTCGACAAGAGCCGTGTACAGTAGAGGAGACGCCGTTTTCCCATGTTTTCCCAACCACGCCAAACGAAAAGCATTCTTAGTTTGGCTTTCTTGGATGGAGCAGACCTTCCCGACCAAGTCTATTTCATGAACGGAACGTTTGGCCTATGTTGACCTGGCTTTGTTGACCTCGGCCCGGGACTTTTAGGGTATTTGCATCGGCGTTTGCAGCTCGGAGCGGCTGACCACAGGTGGACAGGCTTATCGATGCGCAGCTGCAGCGGATCGCACGGGGCATGCAATTCTCCACACCCTTTATGGCATGGACACTTGGCGCGGCAGAGCGGGTGTGCTTTCGTCCCGATGTTGGGCTTACGATGTAACAGTTGAACAGGAAGATGCAGCAGTGCCCGAAATGGAAGTGACACCAACAGTAGTGGCAGTCGTGGTTTGTGGCATATATGAAATATATTATATATGGGCCCTCATACGTGCATCCCCCCCTGAAGCTGACTGAAAGAATGACCATCAGCGGCAGTCTGGCCCATTGGTGTTTTGATCATTTTTGATCCATGGTTTAGTGAGACGCCATGAGACACCACAGGCAGCACAGATCACTAGGTCTGTCGCGCTTGGTGTTTTGAGGCCTTGAAGTTCGACTGCCTGTTCTTCGTCGAGTATTTCGCCATGGACTTGATCATGAGTTCCTCGGCGACACGCGGGCGGTTCCGGGCCGACGGCGGCGGTGGTCTTCAGGCCGAAGCGGTAGGTTCACACGGGGAGCTGGCGGGCGGGATCTCAGGTTCACATTGTTCGGCTTCGGAAGGAGTGAAACGAAGAGTGGTGGCGGCATCTCGACGGACGTCAGGCGATGATGGAAAATGCTTGGGCTGCGTTGCAATGTCCCTTGGAGCTGCAGACTTCAGTTGAGACCCTGGGTAGGAGAGATGCCATTGGTTGGATCGCGCACGTGAAGACAAGCTTCTGTAGTTGGTAAGTTTTCTTCTCAAGCAGATGCTGTCAACGCACCATGAATCTTTCAAGGGAAGGTACATGTATTGGCAGATTAGGCGGAAACCATGATGGAAAATCACGGAGAAAAGACCGGTTTCCTGTGTGTGTGAGCCTAAGTGGCTTTTTGTTCAGATGTTGGTTCGATGTTTTTGATGTTGATGGGGCTGGATTTCTTATAGAGCCGATTATATAACCTCAGCCGCACCAGGTGCAGTGCGTGGAGAGAAAGAGAGAGACTCACACAAAGTGTGTTTGGATTTCTTGGAGCCAGGCAATTCAATAGACTCCTAAGAGTGTTAGCAAAATTGCATACTTTTGCACTCTTGCTGCAGAGAGATTTGTTGGGGTAGAGAGTGAGTGGTTATAGGCGACACGGTGAGCGAGTGATGGCATTGGTTTGGAGACCCTGGTCCCATGTGCGACCAGGCCATTGAACCAGAAGGTCCCACTCTTTAGTTCAATGAATTCTGCAAACACACTCGCGGAAAAATATATACAGGAAGTGAAGTGTACTTCAGATGTCATGGTCATCCTTTCGCGGCCATCCACATATATATCCCTGATTTTAGGGATGTAACGGTGGTAATCCCAAATCCTCCGTTTCGGAGCCTCAAGAGATGGCAACCCCCAAGGTGCATGGAGGATGGCTCGATCCATCGCTTCGGCGCCCATTCGACGATCATCGCCACGGGTGGCTTTGGCCGAGCCTACCAGTCTTGCACCTCTGCGCACACGTGCACAGGCGGGGCGCGGGAGTCATGAAGCGCCGGTGTTTGACGAGAGAATCGGGCGTTTCTGGGAAAGAGGCGGGTTGGTTTTTGTGGTATTGCTGTTGGAGAGCTTTCTTTTGAAGACACCTTGCAGTTCCACGTTCAATTCAGCGAGAGTGCTCCGGTTACACCCGGATCCAACGACTTGTAGGGGTGGCTCCTTTCGATAGAGGAGAGAGGTTTGTAGGAAGACTTTTGGTGATCCCGGACAATCTTGCACTTGCCCGAAGATGAGCCTTATATAATATATAGCCTATAGCTGCACTTCCTCCGCTTCCCAGGAGATGGTAGTGCCATGGCTTCTCGCGCTGGGCTCCCCATGCAGGACTTGGAGTTCGTTCAATTCCACCCGACAGGCGGGGGTAGATCACGTCAAGAAGAGCTCAATTCCCTTCGTCAACGCTGGCCGTGACCCCCAAGTTCCAGGACAGCAAGGATGAAAGAGACCAAGACCGCCATGTGTTCAGATGTTCGCCTTATTGGGGGGGTTACTGCTGTCTTGTTACCCAAGACCGCCACTGGAATCCCGCCAACCCAAACTTCCAGAATTCCCCCGGCCCCGTCGCTCCTCGCTTTTTGCAGTAGGTAGTACGTAGGTCTGTTTCCAAACATGCAGCCTAGACCAGTGCCAGATGCAGGTCGGGGTGATAGGGAACATTTGAGGTAGATCGAAGAGTGAACCCCATGCAAGTATGATTCAGAATTACAAAAGATCCAAGCAGATTGACAGGTTGCGTAGTAGTTGCGTTCTTGAAAGTGTGAAAATGTGTTTGAAGTTCGCAGTGCTATCCTGACATATCCTGACATTGAAGCGCTTGTCCTTAGGTCCCACCAGTCCCAGGTTTTTCAGAACCCATCACATGCCGAGGTATTTTCCCAGCTGGCTGCCTGCTCACAGAGGGTTGCCGTGGTGAGGGCGGCATCCTGCGCAACAGTTGCTCGGCAGCGTGTGCCTTCCTTCGTCATCCTGCGCGAAGCCTTCGGGTGGCGAGCATGGGACCTCTAGCCATCCTGTTGTTGTCTCATCGGTTCGCATCCCAAGATCCCATTCCAAAAGCATGCGGATGATCCGGGGCGGAGGAGCGGTTGAGATCGGGAGCGATGATCGGGATGACCTCGTTTGATGGTCATAGGTTGAGAAGAGCAAGGATCCGACTCGGAGGAAGACTTTTTTCAAATGTTCAAACGAGCTATGTCTCTTGTCCTTTCTGCCCCAAAGAGAGGGTGTTTTATTTTAAAGCTGGTTCGATGCTTGTGCATATATCTTATGGGTGTTTCAATCATTTCCATCCATGCCACAGAGCATCATAGGCTAATTGACGTCTCCTTTCCAATATTCAAACGTCACATCGATCTCCACCAGTCCCCCGGCCAAGGCGAAGGCGAGCCCTTCATGGCGCGCTACGCGCCCACAGCGAAGGATTTGGCCTCGCGCGACGTGGTGAGCCGTGCGATGACCTTGGAGATCCGCGAGGGCCGTGGTGTGGGTCCCAACAAGGAGAGGGATCGGCTTCGGTGCACGGCGCCATCGTTTCCTCCACGGAAACGTGACTGGAGAGGTAGATTTTAAGCATACCGAGAAGCGGATGGAGGTATGGGGGCAAGATGGTGACATTGATGTTCTTTGGAATGTGGAAGATCAACGTCAATCATGAGGATGTCCTTTTTTTCTAATATACACTGTATATATATATATATGATGTCAACGTGGTGATCGCACCCCTCCAAGACATTGGAATACAAGATTCTCAAGTTCCCACCTTGGAAACCCATGTCTAAATACGATTAAATATGTTGTCTAGTTGTTTTGAAAGGCAAACAACCTTTGAATCCCAGCTTTTTCTCAACCACCCAGCACCCAGTAGTTTTGAGGAGCCAATCTTTGGTGCTTTTGTAGATACACTGTCCATCACTGCCCGCAAATGTCACAAACTGGGTTGATCTCACTCTTTGGTAGCACCGTGCTGCACTTGTGAGCCTGAAAGAGCGACGGTCCAAGAGTGACTCTTATGACTGGACAATCACCATGTTCCCTCCAAAATCGTTCGGATCCGAACATTCTTGACGTCGACGGATCGCAGCCAGGACCACATCTTCCTGCACCTCGACCATTTGCCTCCAGAGACCTTGGCTGAACGTCTCCCAGGCATCTCCGAGACTGCGAAGATCTTTGCGGGCGTGGATGTGACCAAGGCGAGTATCTCCGTTGTAGAGAGTTCCTTCTTGGAGAAGGGGACTTTGTATTTTCCGGGGGTTCTTTTGGAGACACATAGTGATTTCCATAGCTCCATATATCTCCATATGTTTTTTTCTTTTTCAGCTCATTGATGTTACAGTATATCATTGTATCGAATGCACTCAACCCCTTTCCACCCTCTGATCACCTCAAGGCGCAAGTATGTGCGCAAGTGTGGGTGGGTGGGTGCTGCGCGCGCACCCCTTGGGCTCAGAGGATGTCCTGGGGCTTGTATAAACAGCAGGGGAGCAGATACTGCTACTCTGTCCGACAAAGCTATGCATCAAAAAGGGAAACATCCGCTGGCCATGGATGTGTACCTGCGTGTTTGTGGCGTTGAGTAGACGCATGCCACTCTAGCTTTCAGGCGGTTTCGGTTGATGCAGGTTTGCTGTCACGCATCCTGATTATCGCATCCTACACATTTCAAAACTTGAAACTTTCACTGTCGATCCCCGTTTGGAATATCAGGACGTTCGATCACCGCTGCATTCACGCGTTATACATCGTTATACGTGGTCCTACCATGTTCTCTGCAGGCACATTGCGGCCTTCGTCGCAGGTACCCAATCACAAGTAAGCGTGTGTTTGTGTGTGTGTGTGGGGGGGAGGGGGGGGAGGAGGAGGAGGAGGAGATCAGAAGAGTGTGAATGTGGGACCTTTTTGGGGGTCAAACTGTCAGAGGGTGGTGAAGCTGTACTAATTCACGCTGATTTGGGCTATACACTGGGACTCATCAACATACCACCCTGTGGCCCCTAAGAACGTGTAACGTGGGGCGTGCAAACAGAACAGCATCATTAGTGGCCGCCGCATTTCTTTGAAGGTAAACCCACTACTGACAAATAATGTTGCTTGAAATTGTGCTCGTTTGCCTCTTCTGCTGTTTTCTCATTCCACCGGTTTCAGCAGTGGTTCACACTGGCTCATTCAGATCCGTTTGGAAGTTTAGATGATCTTCGAATGAATTTCGATACAGTGCGGTGCACGTGTTGAAAGAGGCAAGTGGGTGTACCTAGGCTGAAAGAACATATTATGATAATGTATTCCCATTGTTTCAGGGTGTCGGGGCGCTCGGAAATAGTTCTAGCTGCACCAGTTTGCAGAGCCTGCCGGACAAGTTTTGGGTTGTGGACCGTGTTGCTCTTCAGAGTCTCAATGTTTTGCAGAAAGTTGCCCAAAAGAAGTCGCGTCGTAACTCCGGCGTAATTTCCCGTACTCCGGCGAAAGTTTCCAGAAACGGTTTTTTTGAAGGCTTTGAACCTTGAATTTTTTGATTGGAGCCATGAGTTCTGCTACATTTATTAAGGGGTCGAGGTCCTGAGGCAAGCAAAAAAATCCTGGAGAGCAACCCACTTAACTTTGTAAAAGAGCTTTAGAGACATGGTTGCAGAGAAAGAGGGGCTCCTTGCCACATACTCCTTGGTTTGTTCTTGGAAGTCTTTGCTTGGGCACAAGTTTGCTTATATTTTGTGAAGGTTCTGCTCTTAGGCATTTCAGAAGATGGGCGAGGGCAACGGGAACGGGAAGGCTCCAGTGTTGGGTTGTGGAATGGGTGTGTTCCAGAAACACTACTCGTGGCGCAAAGGCGCTTGTGTATAATCCAACCTTTCATCATGATTGTTTTTCAAAATCTTGCATCCGGATGTTTCTTCAGGTCCTCGGCGTTTTTTGGAGAATCTGGTGGATTTTTTTTTCCGGATTGACGTCCGGCACCTTTGTTTTAACCTAAAGGAGGATTCAGGTATATAATGCATACAACACAGAGAGAAAGAGTTCCATCATGTTTGGATGGAGTTGGACGTTTCATGCAGGAATGAGACATGTACCCCCCGAAAAGGGCAGAGGGACACATGCATGGCGAATAGTATCCACGAGTCCATCCAGGGCAGGCATAGTTGGACGACTACATTTTTCCGTGGATCGTTCAAGGGATAGAAAATCATGCAGTCATGTGTGGCAAACTGTGTATGTCAAGATCCTGCGTTTCTCCCTGCAGGAACCGGCACCAGTGCTGCCTACCGTGCACTACAACATGGGTGGAATCCCGACCAATTGGAAGACACAGGAGCGGTTTTTTTCGTAGTGCCTGGTCTTTACCTGTGAAAAACACCAGGTTCCTCAGTTTCACCGAGGCTGCTCGTTCAGCGATGTTCATTCTATGTCGTGGCCGGCCGCATTGCGCTCTCCAGGTGGTCAAGGATGCTGAAGACACTATTGTTCCTGGTCTCTTTGCAGCTGGTGAGGCCCAGCGGTCACCCCTGCCGTGAAACACTGAACCGGGATGTTTGTGCCCACCTGTCGCGAACTCATTGTCAGAAAGAGCAGGAACATGTCCCTTTGACTGTCTATTGCAGCCGCCTTTTCATGCAGCACTCAGCAGCTCCACAAGCCAACGGCCCGGACCGCGCACTTCGTTCTCACGCACTCGATCCACCGCACAGCTCCAGGCGGGATGCGCATCGGTGCACGGCGCCAACCGCTTGGGCGCCAATTCCCTCTTGGACTTGGTCGTTTTCGGCCGTCAGGCGACGCGGTCGTGGACCGGGGGATGAGGTGTATACAGCTTGGGTTTGTCCATTCTTACTGTAACAGTTAGTAAACAAGCAAATCATCATTTTTGAACAAGGCCTGCAACCTAACCATCATCATCCACTGGGCCCAGGTAATAGGATAGATAGACCCATGTATACACTATGGTTCTGCGCGGGAAGACCCGAGACCCACATGGAACCAGGCCTGGCGTCGTGGTTTAGACGATGTTCCCAGCGGCACGGTGGTTGTCAGGTTCCGTGAATGATCCAGGGTGTAGGTGTGCATGGATACTGGCCACACATACCGCGGTGATTGGGGCGAGCCTTGCAGGACCTGCATATCAGGCTACACAGTACCGTACACACACACACACTCACGCACAGATTGAGGGTTTGGACCCTCTCACGAAAATCAAGGACCTTGCCGATTCTCCATATATATATATTATATATATTTCTCCATTATGGTCTTTCACTAGTCTATCGAGCCGGGATCTGGAATGTTCTGGGTATTCAGACGGTCTTCGGGCTCGGGGTGTCCTAAAGAGGAGCTGAATCATGGAGGCCACCCTCTCCATCCCCCACTCGGAGGGCCTTCCAGCTCATGAAAACCACATGGAACGACTCCACGGCGCTCGGTCACTCCCATTCACTCAGGCTGCGGACACCACGGCCGAACTGGTGAAGCCCAACAGTCCTCCAGTGGTGTTGCCCAAGAACGCCCCTCGGTGGACAGAGCCACCTGGGGGAGGGTCCTCCGCATGGCGGGAGGAGTTCCCGAAGCGTGCAACTGTGGGGCTTCGAGTTTGCTGTACATTTCTCAAGAGTTTGGGGCGATAGGGCCGGAGTCGACACTCGTCACTGGCTTGCATATCTAGATGCTATGTTTGATTATTTGCTTTGCCCAGAATGTATGCAGCCGAGTTGGCTGCGGGCAAGTGAAAGCACAAGTCGAACGAGAAAACACTTCAGGTGATATATATTGATATATCATGGAAAGAGAGTCAATGGATTTTCAGCTATATGTATACAATTGTTTGTGCATACTGGGACAATTAATTACTAGCATCTAGCAGCTAGCATATAGAGCGATTTGGTGTGACGATGTGAATCAGCAGCTAGTCCACACGCTGGCTGACCTGTCTCTTTCTAGGCCTCTAGCTCTCTAGCTCACCTTAGTGTTTGGCTCATCTGATATGGAGAGAAAGAGAGAAAGAAAAAGAGAGAGAGAGAGAGAAAGAGAAAGACAGAGAAAGAAGCAATCGCCTCATAATTAGATGTTTCATGAATTTTCATGATGTTTAATGTTTTCACTCAAACAAGACGAAAGAAGCTGGTCTTTCTCGCCACACCAGGCAGGTGAAGCATCCATCGCCCGCATGGACAAGATGCGCCACTGCAGCGGGCCGATCCCCACCGCAGTGCTGCGGCGCGAGTTGCAGGCTTTCCGCGTGCCGTGACGGCGCGCGGCACGAGTGGCATCGTTTGGTTTTTTCCTCAGAAAATCGGAGATGCTGCCGCGTCCGATGTTGCTACATGCGAGGTCTTGTGAGAACGGAGTTGCACAAAGGGAAGCAAATGGATGAATCACGTTTGGTTGTTGACCACTGGACCGATATTTGTGTTTTTGTTTGATTATATAAATTTCTCGTAAAAGAGACATAAAAGGACTCCTGGAATCATCTGGAATCTTCCCTTGGCTGCTTCTTGAGACTTTTGCATTCAAGTAGTTCAACTTGGCCGTTTCAAGTAGTTCAAGCAGTTCGCTCTTTCTGATGTTTGCGACAGGTTACCATGCAAAAGTATGCGCCTGTATACAGTCGCCGGGCTGTTTTCTTGGACCGACTGGGGGCAGAGTTGGTGTCGACCCAATGCAGACCACCGGGAGTGTCACCCCTACCATCCTCCAGCCCATGGGCCCACCATCATCAGTGTTGAAGAGGTGACTCGTCGCTTTGGCGCGGGCAAAGGCATACACTCTGCACTAGTGAGTTGGGACTTGTGAAATGACTGCAAATTTCGAAGTGCCATCTCACGTGTTTCCAAGTGTGTCCACAACTCCCATCTCATCATGCATCTACCATCAAAATCAAGATCAGCCGAAGGTAGCTTTGCTTATCTTATCTCTTTGAATTGGTGTGTTCCAAAGGAGGACAGTCAAACATAGTTTAATATAAGTTGTATTTTGTGTGTTTTAAGTAATAACTGAAACTCGTTGTTATGACAAATGCATTAAATGAACCACAATGTAACTTAAATGGCGCATTAATGACGAAAACGTTATTACATGATTGCACAAAATAAACGTGTTGACCAGCCTATCTCCTGTGCCTCCTGAATGTTTTCAGTCAACTTTTCTCAGACACATGTGTCAGGACTTGTGCAACAAGCAACCCCTCTCATAATTGGCACAACTCCTAACTCATCTGGGGGTAGTATAGTTTGGATATATTCACGGATGCCAATATGATGCAAGTGCATGCCACTCCTTAGGGGGTTGGTCCTATTAGCCACTGCAGCCACTGGAAGATGGTTCCAAAGAATCGTCTCGCTCGAAGGTCCGAAATTCAGGAGCTGCGAACAAAGAATCTGCGCAGACCCAGACCCACAGACCCAGACAACTCATGGACACAGCTGGACACAACTCATGACGCATGTACTTCTGACGCATACGCTCGATGCCATTGACCCCCGCATCGGTGGGCCGCATCGGTCTGGACGCTCCGAACATCCGAACCGACGGCGGCGAGCGGCAGCGGCTGCGCCGTGCTTCGTAGCGGGGGTTCTCTCTGACGGTTGCCGTCTGAAGCCACTCACTCACATAGAAGTGGAAAACACTCCCGATGTTCTGGTGATTAGTAAGAGGATGAGGTGTTTCCAGGGCGGAATTTTCATCAATGTTCCACTTACATGTGAGTGATTCAGAGTGCAAGCCAGCCTTTCCCAAGGAAATGCCGACGACTTGGCCAAGGGTAAGGAGGCGGTCGTTGAAGTCATGAAGAAGTTCAAGGCACTGTTGGGTGCTTGGGGAGCCCACCAAAGGGATGAGCAACAGCCAGTGATTCTTCTACAGCCAGTCTCGTTTTTGCCCGACTGTGCATACTGAGATTTTTCCAAGTTTGCCGGACGCCTGTTGACCTCTGATTAATAAGCGCGGGTGTCATATTTCCAAGTTTCGTTCACCCTAAATAAAGTTAATCCGAGGTTCCAAGAAAGAATTCAATAGAGAAATGACATGATCCCTTACTAAAACGAATTTTAAAAAGAAAGGAAGGAGGAATCTTATCACCGCAAGAACCCGCCGCAAGATCCCGAGACCGGACGAGCCCTATGCTATACTATACTAGTCCCACGTCCTGTTGATATTGAAGCCGGTCCTCAAACTCTGTACCATTCACCGACAGGTCAGGGACTGTCAGCCAACTACTTTATGATGCAATCACTTTTGTTTTGCGAGGCGAGGTGAACATTTCATATTGGATCATATCGGTCATTCAAGCACGCGGCCCAGAGTTGGCCCTCGCAAACCTCAGCGAGCAGCACCTGCTGGTTTGGCCAAGGGTAAATCAGGTACAACTGGGTGTGGGGCATAAATTGGTTCACAATTAAGATGTCAACCTATAAACCATTACAATCCTAGATACTGGACGAAAATGGTTGGGGTTTTATTACAGGTTTGCACCCACCAGTCTCTTCCGAACCTTTTGCTTTCACCCGTCTCATCGGCACCGAGGATGTGGGCGTCTCGGACCGGACCATGATTTGGACCCTTGGACACCCAGCGGTCGCGAGGGGAACCGCCGTGCGGTCCGTCCGGACGGGACGGGACCGGCAGAAACGGCGAGCGCTGGGACTCCGCGCGAGCTTGGAAGCCCTTTGTTGTTGTTGTTTATTTTCCCGAATGCGTAGCGAAGGGTTCTCGTTTAACTCTTGGGGGTCTGGGGGTAGAGCTTTGTTCGCGACCCGTTGCTTCTATGTTCGCAACCGTTGGCAACCGTCCGCAACCGTTCGCAGTAGAGCGCTAAGGCGCTGCCATTGGGGGAAGCTTTTGCAAGTGACTTTTCATGGATGTGTCACGTGTCAGTTTGCGACGCTATTCCATTGTGATTTGCATGAAAATGACATGTCGCGCAAGAAGCGTGATGCATTTCGCTGCACAGGCGCAGCGTTTTGTGAGATCCTCAGTTTGCTACGCAGTTCCATTGGGATTAGCATTTGGAGAGTCGTGTTTTTGGGGTGTTGGATGTGGCCGTGCCATTGGGATTTGCGTTTCAGGGTGTGGCATCGAAGCTCTGTTTTCGTGACAAGTCTCAGCTGAAATGGCGATTTTGGTGGATGGGAGTGTGCTCAGAACGGATCGAAATCATTCCAAACGTGTGGTGTGGTGCAAATTTTGTTGAAGCTCACATGAGATGATATTGTCACTTTTCGCGGCAGGCGCAGTACTTTGTGCGATTTTTGAGGCATGGAAGTGTGATTTTCGTGGCAGGCGCAGGGAATCGTGAGGTTGCGAGGTGTGACGGAGGTGACATTGCGTGGCAGGCGCAGTACTTTGTGCGCGTTAGACGTGTGGACGCGGAAAGATGCGTGGCAGGCGCAGGGAATCGTGAGGTTGTGAGTTGTGGTAGAGGTGACTGTCGTTGTCTCATTGGGATTGGCGTGTGAGCGGGTGTTGTTTGGAGGGGCTGGAATCGCGAAACTGCTTGGCAGGGCTGCGTGATGTGTGTGCTCCGATGGGTGTTTCCGCTTGACTTTTGGAGGAAGTCTCGTACGAAACGCTCGTTTTGGAGACTTTGACACGTGAGTTTTT